ACCAATGTAAGATTTCTAAAGATAGCTACAGCACTCGACCCAAGATTTAAGAATCTGAAGTTCCTTCCAAAATCAGAGAGGGATGAGGTGTGGAGCATGCTTTCAGAAATCTTCAAAGAGCCCCACTCAGATGCGGAAACTACAGAACCCGAACCACCAAAAAGAAAATGAACCTTCTGCTGGTGGCATCTGACTCAGATGATGAAAATGAACATACGTAAGTCTGCTCTGCTTTGAATCATTATCGAGCCAAACCCATCATCAGCATGGACGTCCTATGGAATGGTGGTTGAAGATGAAGGGATATATGATTCATTAGTACATCTAGCATGTAAATATCTTGCAAGCTGGCTACAACAGTGCCATGTGAATGCCTGTTCTCACTTTCAGGTGACATTGTAAACAAGAAGAGGGCAGCACTATATCCTGCAAATTGTAACCAAATGTGTTTGCCTGAGTGATTGCCTGAAGAAGAAGTAGGACGGAGTGGACTTGTAGGCTCTAAAGTTTTATATTGTTTTATTTTTGAATGCAGTTATTTTTGTACATAATTCTACATTTGTAAGTTGCACTTTCATGATAAAGAGATTGCACTACAGTACTTGTATGAGGTGAATTGAAAAATTCTATTTCTTTTGTTTTTTACAGTGCAAATATTTGCAATAAAAAATAAATATAAAGTGAGTACTGTACACTTTGTAGTCTGTGTTGTAATTGAAATCAATATATTTGAAAACATAGAAAACATCCAAAATATTTAAATAAATGGTATTCTATTATTTTTTAACAGCACGATTAATTGTGGGATTAATCGAGATTAATTATTTTAATCGTTCAATTAATCACGGTTAATTTTTTTAATCGCTTGACAGCCCTAGTAAAAGGCAATAAAGGGTAGTTCCTCTCACTTGCCCCTTGCATCCTTCTGCCATTGCCATCTTCATTCTACTTCTGGATTTACCTTTGTCTTTAAAATCCTGCCTTAATACATCCTCCTTCCTTTTAACTTTTCAGCAATATTCTCACCTAGACATTGCCACAGCTCCAAGATAATACCTTCTCCCAATGAAGAATATAATTGAATTGTGTTTGTGTTGTCTGTGTTAGATAAGATTCTTTGGACAGAAACTGTCTTAGTTCCCTCATGTTTGTGTAGCACAGATCACATTGTCAACACTGCACAAAAACTAACAACGATGTAGTGCTGGTGGCTTATGAAGCTTTGATATCTAATGCCACATAGACATACAACTACTGCGATGAGTGGAATTATGTTTCATTACATAATCTTCAATCAAAATGTTTTCTTTATAGTATGATTGTCATTCCAGTCTACAGTTACCTTTGCAACCAGATCAAGGCCTGAGAAAGAAGTATACAGTACTAACCCTACTTCTTCCAAGTTGTCAGGCTGAAGAGAAGATCACAGGAGAGCTATCAAGACCTGACAGCTTGATTTGTTTGGATTTGGTGGGACTTTTTTGCTCTTGTTTTGTTGCTGCTGCTTTTTGTTTTTTTTAATGTTCACAGTGAAGTGGCCCTAGACATCAGAGCATAGCTGACGGGCCTTCTCTTGCTTGTGCTTTCTCAGGGGACTGCAGACCCAGAGATACCAACATTTCCCTGTGTATAGTTAATCAGTTAGAGATCGCTAGTGCCAGGGAAGTGCTGCTTCAGCACAGAAAATGATTACCTATAATCCTGCATGATGCAGCCTGCAAAGCAACACTATCTTTGAATGCACACAAAGGATAGGACTTTAAATCTAGTGCACAGACACCACTGCTACAGGATTAAGGACTGGAGGGAAAAGACACTTTCCAAGTACCCAGGTTGGGAAAGAGATCACAGAAGAGATCAGGGTGAGCTAATTTTAAAATTGTGCCGTTTGCTTTTGATGCTAGGTTTTGCTGTTGTTATATGTTTGTTTACTGTTGCATGGTACAGAACACTCAAGCTGTTCCCTTACATGATGTATTGCGCTAACAAAAATGTTGGTTTTTTTTAAATCCACCAAACTCGAGTGTGATTGTGGCTCACAGCATGTGGTAAGCAAGCTGATCCTCTTAGAATCACTGAAGATGATTAACTATCTTCTTCTTCCTTTCTGACATGTAAGTCAAAAGTAATCTTGCAAATGTTCCAGATGACAGGCTAACGTCTTTTGGATATTGGGATGGGGACAGTGCTTGCCTTGGTAAACTTGATGGTGTGTGACGTCCAGGGCCGGCTCCAGGGTTTTGGCCGCCCCAAGCAGCCAAAACAAAAAAAAAAAAAAAAAAAGCCGCGGCCGCGATCGCAATCTGCGGCGGCAATTCGGCGGGAGGTCCTTCACTCCGAGCCGGAGTG